TGTATGACACATTTTCCATGAACTTTTTATATTCCCTATAATGCATTCTGGTTTCTATAAAGGTTTCTGATTCCAGGTACAGTGGTGTAAGCACATTCCCCCTGTCTGCCCCACTGAATGCAGCTCTGAAACCTGGACAGGGTATATGGAGCAGGTATTAGAGGGTCTCTGGAAAGTAGAGTAGCGGGTCGCTTGAAGAAGAAAACCAGAATTGGTTGTACCACCATACCAGCAGTGAGGTTAGCATTTTCTTGTCCTCTGCTACCTCCCGACCTGGACTCAGGGCCGCCCAAAACCCAGAAGTGGACAGTGGCGCAGAGACATTGTCGGAATAAACCCTCCAGTTCACACCCTAGAAGTGGGAGAGGCCTCCTGGCAGTGACACAGCACCAGTGGGGACTAGCAGATGCCTAAAATCCTGAGGGGGTGAGGAGAGCCATCTCCCATTGAAAGATCTGTGGTCCCAGGAGGCTGGAGTAAGCAAACCCCACTATTGCTGGTGTCTCACTCTGTCCTCCCAGCGCCAGGTCCTATCATGAGTGTATTTGCGACAAGCACAGAGGCAGGCAGGAGAATGAAAGTTGGGACTTTAGGACCGAAGGGGGGAGTGCAGGGAACCAGAAAGTACCGGGTGGGGGAGGTCACGGATGGGGAGCTGCTTGGGAAAGCAGCCCCATGAAGTGGTTTATGAACTCCTGGGCTCACTCCTGAGACGCACGTGTGTGGATCTGACCTTCAAGAGCATGCCCAAGCCTCTGAGGACTGAACTCAGACACAGACCACTGCCCAGGTCCCAGGATGGGCACTCAATGCCCAGACATGAGACAAACTGAAATAACACTACAAAGGCTTTGACAATGGAACTGACATTGAAATTACAACCTTGCAGAAGGCTGGGTAGAACTTGCCACTGGAACCTAACCAGGCTGACTGCCTACTAAGACAAAAATCCAAGACTCAGAGTCTTATAATACCCAAAGTGCCCAGGATATTTAACCCCAATTGGTGAAGACCTTGTCTCTTTTCACTCCGGCTTTCCTTTATGTCAGGTCTCATTTTTGTGTTTCATGTCCTTTTCCTGACAAAGGATCCCCCAAATTATATAAGCCTGACAAAGGATCCCCCAAATTATATAAGCTTCACAACTCAAAACCTGGATCTGCCCTTGTCCTATTCAGATAGTTATAACAAAGATGGTGTTAGAAAAGCTAGAGATTTGTTTCTGAGTCATGTGTAAAAACCATCAAGTATTTTAATGAGAACTAATTAACAAGCTCTTATCCTGGGGCTCTAAGAAAGGGAACACCCACTTTCAGTACTAAGCTCAACACAACTTCTTCCGGGTCCTCTGAACCCCTAACATTCCATGTTCATTACTTGTTTAGTAACTCTAAGCTTCATAAGAACAGGGACTATATCTTTTCTATTTACTTACATGTCCCCAGCAACTATTACAATACCTGGCACACAGTAAGTACTTAATAAATGTTACCAAGCTAATGAATTACTTAATTTATGAAGACTTATACTTAAATATACCCCCATATCTCTCCATGAAGAACTGAAGACTCAGTACCTGCTCTGGGCCAGGCACGAAAGTTACAAGCTCATGAGAAGACCTTCGAAAGTAGCTTACCTGCTGGTTTGAGTGCACAGAATAGGAAGCGCTCGATGCTGTGCTCACACTGACCCAGCAGTGGAAATGTAAGCAGCGACTTATGTATGGAAGGACAGCCAGCGCTGAGGTTACGTGAAACCCCCTGTTCCTGTAATGCACTCTCCTCATTCAAAAGGGACTGAAGGAGCCAGAATTCAGACTTCGATGGCCAATCAGGACCTCTTCTTTCTTTAATTAGGGACAGTAGATTCTCCGTTGGACCACCGTGACAAATAAATGAAAAAATAAGTGAAATGCCCCCATTTCATAGTCAAACCTTTGTCATTTCTCTGAGCTACAATTGTAGAGACCAGAGCCCGAACCTCCGAAGGGTAGTGCCAGTTCTTTAAATGCTCACCTTGCTTTATCACACCCCATGGTCTAGGAGCTATCTGTCCTTCTTACATCTTCTAATTCCAACTGCTTCTAAGTATTTTCTGTAATGGTAGCAGCAGCCGCAGCAAAATCAGTGGCTGAGAAGAAGTCTATATGCAGGAGAAGCAAGACGATAGAGATTGAGAGGGAGAGAGAGAAAATGTTGGTGGGTTCTGGCCAAAGGATAGCAGAACAACAGAAAAGAGAAGAAGAGAAAGTGAGGTGGGAATTACATATACTCATTCCATAAAACTGATATTTCCAAAAGGAAATGGAAATCCTAGAAGGTGCAACAACTTTGGAGCAAAGAAAATTCTGTGCCCATACGCTGAATACCCACCAGAAGAAAAATAATAAATGTTTGTGTAAAAAAAGAGTTGGCACTGCCTCTCTCAAGGAGCAGGTGTTTGTAATTGCTGTTTTTAAACCCACCACAGCTGGTTGCCGTTGGCCTGCCACCCTTGTCCTGGCATATGGGTGGTGTGGGCATGGGGGAGAGGCTGAGCATGTGGCATGCCATGACAGATTTTCATCTTCGTTTTCCTCAAGCTCTGTGGGTGACCTGCACTGCAACTTCCCAGGGAGTGAGGGAAGTTATTGGCCTGACCTAGTCCTTTCACTTTTTTTCCCCTACTCATGGCTTGAGCTTTCATTAGTTGTCCTTTCTCATTAAGACATCAATCAAAGAGTGACAATTAAACACCTCTTGATTTATTATCTTACTGAAAGTGGGAAGTTGAGATCATGGGGCTGGAACGGAGTGAAGGGCCCCGCCGGCGAGATGAGCTCACCATTGTAGGGCACCATGCCAGCAGGCAGCTCTGCCCTGCTTTTCATCCCTCGGGAGAGCAGTAGGGAGCAGTATCACACCTAGAAATCCTTTGAGTCTCCACATTGAGGACTCAGTGCTGTAAAATATGGCACCTTCTCTGAGCCGAGATCATAGGCTCAAATCACACTGGGTGTTCTTCTTTTCAAGCATGGGTTTGGCTTTGCCTTAAACCGTGCAAGAGAACTCCATTTTGTATCTACCCCACAGGTGCTACTCCTCAGGGACAGTGTTAACTCCCTACTATGGGTCAGGCACGTGGCAGGCATTCAGCAAATGGACGGAGAGGGTGAATGATCACACGCACCCTGCGAGGAACCGACTTCTCTTAATTAGTATGCTCATGTGCATAGTTAATAATATCCTGCCTCACTACAAAAAGGAAATAAAGACAGCATAGCCGTTCCTCAAAAGGGTTAAACATAGCATTACCGTATGGTCCAGCAATTTCAACGAGGTATGTACCTAAAAGGATTGAAAGTAAGAACCTAAATAAGTCCTTGCACACCAGTGTTCATAGCAGCATGATTCACTATAACCCAAAGGTGGGGACAGCCCGAATGCCCACTAATGGATGAATGGATAGACACAAGATGGAACATAACTATCCAACTTTGAAAGGAAGGAAATTCTGACACATGCTCTCAATAGATGAACTTTGAGAACATCATGCTAAGTGAACTAAGCCAGACACAGAAAGACAAATATATGATTCCACCTAGATGAGGTACCTAGAATAGTTAAATTCATAGAAGCAGAAAGTAGAATGGTGTTACCAGAGGCTGAGGAGAAGTAAACGGGGAGTTATTCCTTCACGGGTACAGGCCTTCACGTTGGGGTGAAGGGAAAGTTCTGGAGACGGATGGTGGTGGTTGCACAACAGTGTGAATGTATTTAATGCCACTGAATTGTACACTCAGAAAGGGTTAACCTGGTCACATTTATACATTGTATATTGTACCACAACAAAAAAAGGTGATTAAGCGATATTGATGTAATGTACTAGCATTCCTGAATCAGCCAAGAGAGCATCAACGCTGCTCACATAGCCTGCACCTAGTCGCCTGTGACAAAGAGGCGGTCACCGCAGTCACACAGCTTGTCCAGGGAACGTGTGCCAGCACGCCCCCCACGGCTGTGCACTGCGCTTGTCCCGTGTGAGTCTGTAAGAACACACACTGGTTCTGTCATCAGATGTGCCTGCCCCCAAGCTCCCACGGCTGGGAGTTACTGGAGACTGTCCCTTGTCCCTTGAGCTACACCACCCACCTGAGGATTATTACTGCAGACCAGCCTCCAAGGGACAAAAAATCCTACTTGGGTTCACTCTTTCTAGATGCCCGTCCTAAAGAAGCAATGTCACTTGGAGCTCAGCATCGCAGGCAGAAGGGACAGGGTTTGAATTGCAGTTCTCCACAAAGTATTAGTTGTGTGGCTTTCGGCAAGCCACTTGAGTGGGCCTCAGTTTCCCCATCTATAAAATGGGCATCCTACTGAGCCTATCGAACACCGTGGTGCTAAGGTATAAATGAACTAATGATATAAGAGCTTAACAGGGTGTCTAAAATAAAAATGAGTATGCAATAAATACCACTTTCATATAAGAGATACACTACAGGTGGTCACAGCAATGAGGGAGGATGGTCATAGATGTCATTACAGGGGCTGATCTGTATCAACTCTACACACTGAACCTCACACAGGCCAGCCAGCAGGAGGAGAACCTCAGCAGTGAGCAGGAATACCAGCAGGCGATTAACTGGGGCTCTCTAGAGAGAAGGGTAGTTCTCAAAGGACCCTTTTTACTGTTCCTCCCTTCCCTCATTGTGTTCCTTCATCTTCTCGCGGTGATAGATACCTTTTTCTCACCGCTACTAGAAAGTTTACTCATGCCTGTTTAGGAAATACCTTGAGACCTGTGAGTCCAAAGAATTTGGTGTTACGTTAATAGAATGCCAAGTTAACATGAAACCCTTTAAGAAGAGGTCCAGGGAGAAGTTATTCTCATCAGCATGAGGGTGTGGACAACCTCTGTACAGTAACGCTTCTTCCGTGATTTCAGTCAATCAGACTCTCATACTGACAGTGTTGAATTGAACTCACTAACTTTTAATTATTTTCCTAATTTTGATTATTCAGGTGCATCCTCCCAAAACCTGGAAAGATTTATAGAAAGGTAAGTGGAAGAGGGATATAAGAAGTTGTTTTTAAATTGGGTTTCCCATTTTGAAAAATGGACAATAACTCTGTTGTTACCCTGTAATGATAACTCTGTAATCACTTCTACTGAGCATCAGTAGCTTGTTAGTCACTCTGCAAACAGTGGGAAATTGTCGCTTCTTGGGCCAGTGAGCACTGGAAGTGATTAATTTGCATAGTCCTTAAAGAAGGATCATAAAAATGCATGCTATGTGGATAAAACTGACATCTGGCCAAAGTATGTGAAAAAGGCAAAAAGGAGTATTTCATATTCCTGCTTTATGAATGAGAAAACAATTTTGTGCTCATTTTTGGCTTAATGTTCAGCAGCAAGACCCTGGGTGCTCAGAACAAAAACCTTGGGAGACTCTTGATTTTTCAAAGTTGACTCCAGGCCCACAGCTGTCAGGATGTCTTATGAATCTGGACCTAAGTAACCCAGGTAACTCACCTGTGTTGATTGATGACAAATGCTGTGAAAGATGCTAAGAAGATGATAGCATGTCCCCCCTACTGGAGACTTCAATCCACTCTTTTCAATTCTATGCATTTAGGTGGTCTTTCCCTGATGGGAAAGTGGGTTAAAGGCTGTAGAGAAGGCAGGGGGGAACGAGAATGGTGATGCTACAATGAAAGAAAAGGAGCAAAAATTCCCCAGAGGGTGGTCATACAAATATTCTTTCCAAGGCCAAGGCTGTGACATTAGATACAAAGTTAGGTTTGCAAGAGTTTGACATTCAGGGTCCATCTGTGGATTCTCAGTTTGTCTAGGAACGCACTGTTGGACCAGCCGGCCATCGTTATATACGCCATGATTGGAAATGATGTCTGCGGCAGGTGAGTTACTGAGAAAGAAGCTTTGGAAAATTCTTTTGACTCCGGGTTTCCTCCTTTTCTCCTCTCCACTCCCCTCCGTTACAATAGCCTGCTGTCGAACTTAATTTCTCTACGTTAACAAGTCCTACACACATGTGAAATCAACAAATCCAACCTGTAAAGCTGAAAAACCCTTTTCAAAAACATCTGATCGCTTAATTCTTGACTCTGATTCACAAGCGGGTGTGTCATGATCAGTTCTGAGTTGTAGCACAAGAAATATACTCCTGCTATCCAAGAATCCAACACTGAGAATCATGACTTTTTAAATAAAATAAGGCGGAATCACAGCTACTCCATAAGTATAGCTTCCTCACTCATATTTTCATATATGTACTTACATGGCAGAGACACCCTAGGCTCAGAGCGTTTGCAAAGAAACTGCACATAATTCACGGCCAACCCTATTTATGTCCATGGCCCCTAGTTAGGAAGGAGTTTTGCTAACCTGCTACTATCAGTAGCAATCTCAAAATACTGAATGCCTTAGTTCTCCCACAACAGTTTGGAAGGTTTCTCAAAATCTGTGTGTACCCCTAAGAATATGCTACACATGTGAGTGCCATCTGTCCTGTGATCAGGGCCAAAAAGAATTTTAAAAGGTGCCATCGGCTCTAGAACAAGTCCCCAACAGCCACCCACCTACCATGTTAGAAAACAGAAAAGTAACACCAAGACAGGTCACATGAGTTGCCCAATTAATTGACTAGTGACAGAGCTGGACTCCACCCCCAGTAGGGCTAGAAGCAGGCCATCCTGCTCACTGACCACCTTTGCTTTCCCATACTTCCCAGTTCAATATTATTAGCATGTGCTTGCCCCCGGGCACACCTCCAAGCGAGCCCTACAACGCTTATGGTGAAGGAGGTATAGACCTAAGCAGTGAAGTGAGTTCAGGGCAGGGGATACCACACTGTGATCCAGAGATGTTTATGTGCCAGACCCTGCTTTGGCACCCCCTAAGCTGGTTGATCGCTCTCCCCTAGAACCCCAAGTTTGCCAAGGCCACACATTGGGGCCCCAAGTCTCAATCTTGGTGATAAACCAACTGGCACTCTCTAGTAAAGAGCAAACAGCCCCAAAACCTGCCATGAGCCCAGAGCCACACCACTCTCTAGATCATCCCATCCCCACAGCAGCCCTAAGAGGCAAGTATAATTAATTATCCCCATTTTACAGATGAGGAAACTGAGGTTCTGCAATGTTAAGGCACTTGCTTATACTGCCATTGAGCAGCAAGGCTGAGCATCAAACCACACTCCCTGACAAACTTCTGTGCTCTTTCTATAGTCTACATGTGCCTTATTTGCTTTCTTTTATGCATTCAAAAGTACGTATTGAGCACGTGTGATGTGCCAAGCACTGTGCCAGGCTCGGGGATACAGTGGCAAGGAAGCCATAGTCCCTGACCTCAAACTGCTTATGGAAGGGGAAGCATTGAACTTCAGCCTCCAATCCCCTCACAAAACAGAACACACGTAGGTCAGATCAGCCCTGGAGGGGACAGGGAACAAACTGTCACACTGAGTCCAGGACACCTGCAGAGAGAGGCTTTGACTCCAAGAGCCAAAATCCCTGACACTGACCTTCTCCAGTGGAACCTGCTTACCCAGAGGCCCTTCCAGCCCACTCCTGCTCCTTTCCCGAAGAGCCAAAGGGCAGGCAGCCATCAGCCTGAGACCTGTGCCAGCCTCTCCCCTGCCAGGATCTGGGCAAAGAAGCAGCAAGCATTTGGGTGAAAGAACAGAGCTGGCAGTGTGGGCTGTCCCCGCGGTGCCCACTTTGCAATGTCCTGTGGAGGGGGTGGAAAAATAAAGACAGATGGCAACTCTACCTCCCCATCTGCCAGAACATCAAGGTGGAGCAGAGAACCCAAAATGAACAAGTGATTTCATAAAAAGCTCACGCCAGCAACGAGTTGCGTAATAAGTCCATCCTGGAATAAGTTTGGGGATATTTGCTTGACTTCTTTCTTTTTTTACGATGATGATACTGGCTCTTACTGAAGTAATGCAGCTATGTGCTTCTCTCTCGATTCTCTAAGTTCATGTAGTGACTCAATAAATGCTTGTTAAATGAGTGAAGGTCACGATTAGGAGATAGCTCTTAGTGTCTGGAATTCAAGAAAAAAAGGAAGTAGAGGCAAATCTCGCTTCCTCGTTGTAACGACTCAGTTTGGCCTAAGCTAACTCAGCTTTGCTGGGCTTCTCTTATCACTGCCCTTGAGAGCAGGCGAGTGACACAGAAGGAGAAAAATTCCCGGAAACAGGGCAAACGTGAGTGTGCTACAGCCACAGAACCTAGGGGTGCAGTGGTGAAATGGGAATGGCCTCCAGAGCCTCAAATCATAAAGGGTAATGACAACATTTCCTCAACATCCCAACACGACAGCCCTGAAGAGAACACTGTCATTGGGGCAACTGTGGTCGAATTATAAAAGCATCTAGCACTCACCACATAAATTGGCATGGCTCCATTTTTCATAGTGGGCCTAGAAATTATAATCTGTACACTTTTCACATAATGGAGAGAACCAGGCCCAGCCCACACAGGTTGTCTGTGTGCCCCGGCCCCCAAGCATTCTTTTCTGCAGTGTCAATGCTTCAGAAATCACCCCGAACAGCTGATGAGCATGGCATTAAAAAGGCAGCCAAGGTGCTGATGCAAGGAGCCTGGGGTGCCCAGACGCAGCCCATTCCACCCCCTCCAATGGCAGAAAACCGGCAGAGCAGAGCAAGAGGCAGAGCTGCTACTCGGAGGACTTCTGTCTCCCGGCCTCCACAGCGGAGGCCTGGTGGCCAACAGAATGATACGGAGTTTCCCAACCAGCCAGCCCATTCCAGGCCACACCCCCGTTAAGGGGACCCAGGACCTCTATGCTTGGGGTCATGTGCGCCCGGGAGTCCCCACCCCATTCCAGCCTGTATCAAGATGCCTCTTCAGGGGACATTGGGAGGTCAGTGATGTGATGACAACTGGCTGGCCGGAAGAAACGGGCTCATTCCACTACCTGGTGTTTCAAAAACTCAAATGCTGGCTGTGAGTCAGGAGGTCTGAGCACTCAGTTATGACAAATTTGGGGATTTCGCTCTGGTTCTGGGGAACTTTTTTCACAGAATGTTTTTCCGGAAACATTTTCCACTCCCTCGCCAGGGGGCACAGCTCTGCGGTATCAGCCAGGTGAAACCTGCATGGCATACCTGCCAGGGTAATGAAATGATCACAGCCCCGTACCCACGTCATGAGGCATATTTCGCATGACCGGACACAATTCATTAGGATAGAGACAGGCCCTGAGCCACCCAAGGGGCAAAGCTCTTTATCCGTTCCGAGCCGGCCGTGTGCGCCTGACATGTGTGAGGGCACGGAGGTGGGCATTGACTTATCTCTCATTATTTTCCCTGGCGTAAGTGTTATGCCCCCAGGCCAGTTATCAAGTGTCTCCTCTGCAAACTTGGCAAATGCTTCACCTCTCCATCTGAGTGACTGGCGTGAGCTTGCTGGCGTGTGAAGGGGGCTGATGTGAGCAGGCAAACCCAGGATGGCGCAGCGGGCCTGATCTGGGCTCCAGGACACCTAGAAAAGGGTTAGACACTCAGCTCATCCCATTTGATTGACATCAGGGAAGGCCTAGGGGGCATTTCCCAAACCCCTGGGACGCTCTGGTCACCAAAGCACTAGAACTAAGCCCCCTCGACGATCACCAGAGGAAAAAGAGCACACAGATCAAAATGGCATTGAGAATTTTTCAGGGACAGAGTCAGAAGGCACCTTCGCTGGCATCCAGGAAGGTTGGCCCACCACCTGTCACTTAGACCCTTTTGGCCTTGCCTGAACTAAGAATTGGTTAATTCTGCATGCACATTAGAATTTTAGTGACGCACATGTGTAAATTATGTAGCTTTACACGACTGGGCAAAGATGACAGGAAAACATTGTGTTAGCCCTAAGGCTTCCATTGTGATCTCACTGAGAAATCAGCCATTTTGGTTATGCTTGCTTAATTTGGGGGGCGCCCTTTTCATAAGTACAAACTGGCTCAGATTCTGTGTTTATCATCACGGTTGTGTCTCTAACCAAAAAATAATCATCAAATAGGGTGTCAGAGAGACTTGCTCCATCTTATAATAATTCATCTTGACTTCATGTGGTTGGAGAGACAGCTCAGCATAATTACTTTGTACCAAGGTGCTGCCGTAGTGACAGAAAAAGAAAGAAAAAAAGGAAGAAAAGAAGGAAGGAAGGAAGGAAGGAAGGAAGGAAGGAAGGAAGGAAGGAAGGAAGGAAGGAAGGGGCCAAGGCAAAGTTAATTGGCAGTGTGCACCAGCTTTACCAATGACAAGACAGGATATAGAACCTAAACGTGCTTTCATTTCTGTCCTGCTGTCACATCCCAAACACACAGTGAATATAAAAGCTGGTTACTCTGGGCGGGTTCTCCTGCTCTAAACAAACCCACAAGGCATCCTGGGTCCCCTTGACCAACTCAGATCCCTCTAGAGTGGCTCTGCACATGCAAATCAAGCCAAAGCCCCTTGCCAGCCTTCTGCCCTCGTGGGAATAGGCAGCCTGTTCTCAGATCCTGTGAGTGCTTCTGATGCAGGTTAGGGAGACGTATATTCATAAAGTAGCATAGCCTTTCCCGAGGTAATAAAAGGCATGGATTTAGCATTCTGTTCTACATGCTGGGGTCTGTTAAAATGGGAAAAGTTTCTTCCTTTCTCTCTGTCCCTCCCTCCCTCCCTCCTTTCCTTCCTTCCTTCCTTCCTTCCTTCCTTCCTTCCTTCCTTCCTTCCTTCCTTCCTTCTTTTTTCAGGAAAGTCCAAACAACCCATTACATAGTGCAGCAGCCTGTGCACACCGCTGATGGCCTGACCACAGCTAACAGCCTGGCTACCCAGAAACGCCAGGCCTGCTCTGCCTGTGTCTCAGCACGGGTACATGCTGCCTGTCACCGATGGGCCCCCGTGATCCTCACACCTGTGGTCAGCCTTGTCACCTCCAGAGAGCAGCAGTTTGGGAAGTGATTTTATTTCAATAAGTGAAATAGTTGTAGGAGAAATGACATAAAAACACGATGTTTTCTGCCCCTCCCATTAAATCTTAGGTGGAGTCCAGTTTTTTCCCCTGTAGAAAAGATAATGAAAGGGATATGGGAATCTGTTCCATTTATATTGTTTCTCTAATTACAAGTAACATCTGTTGTAAAAAGTTAAAACAATACAGGACTTAGGAAGTGAAAATTCCCCCATAATCACTCCCTACCATACCCACTACCCTGCTCCAAGCTAACCAACCAATCATGAGAGTTTGATGTATTTGCAGCCAGGTTTTTCCTATGCAAATTCTAATTTACATATTTATTAACACTCACTGAAATGAAATAATTATGCTTACTGCTCTGCCATTTGTTCTTTTCAATAAATAACCCTTTTTAGCAGTCTTTCCATGCTAATACACACAGATCACTTCATTCTTTTTTTTTATTTTATTGAGGTGAAATTCACATAACGTAAAATTAATCATCTTACAGTGAACAACGAATCAGTGGCAATTAGTACATCCAGAATGTTGTGTAGGCATCACCGACATCTCGTTCCTTCATTCTTTTTATGGCTGTATAGCATTCCACTGCATAGCTGTACTACAATTTATATAGGCAGGCTTTTTAGCATTTTGCAATTTTATACCATTCCAAGCAATGTTGCAATTTGTATGTACATTGGTGGAAATTTTACAACAGGACAACTTTCTGAAGGTGAAACCTCAAGGTCAAGAGTAAGTCAACTTCAAATTTTAATACATTTTGAAAAAGTCCCTCCAAGATGACATTGACAATGTCCATGTTGGAGCTCCCTTAAATGTGAGAATGGTAGCTGTCCCTGGGACCTCCTTCTGTCCCCTCTTGCCATTGGGTCCAGCCTGCGAGTAACGGACTTACACTTTTTCTGGTTCGAAATCTGTATTAAGTTCCCTAGGGCCGCCATAACAAAGTACCACAAACTGGGCAACTTGAAACCACAGAAATTTATTCCCTCACAGTTCTGGAGGCTAGAAGTCCAAAATCAAGGGTCGCGCTCCCTCTGAAGGGTCTAGGGGAAAATCTTCCTTTGTCTTTCATGCTTCTGGTGGCTCCTGTCAACCCTCGGCGCTCCTTGGCTTGTGGCAGCATAACTCCACTCTCTGCCTCCGTAGTCACATGACCTTCTTCCCTGTGTGTGTCTGTGTGTCCTCTCCTCTTCCTATCAGGACACTAGTCATTGGCGTTAGGGACCACCCTAATACAATATAGCCTCACCTGAACTAATCACATCTGCTCCAAATAAGGTCACATTCTGAGGGATGCTATGCAGCCCATTATAGGATTAGTCCAAAATTTGGAATTTTGAGGACTCAAAAATAGAAAACAACGTACAGCTTTATCCCATTCAGGTTGACATCAGGCAGTTTAGAGCCTCAAGAGCAGATGAAAACCTCAGAGAATCCGTATTCTCGGGTTAATGCTAGTGAGTATCTTAATTTGAACTTGAGGTGTTCCTGAAAGTGTGTACAAAAGTCAACTGTGCAAAAAAATGAACAAAAATAGACATATATTAAAGCCAAAAAAAGTATTCTAACATCCCTATTTACACCTTACCTTGCAAACATAACTAGAAAGAAAGAAAGAAAGAAGAAAGAAAGAAAGAAAGAAAGAAAGAAAGAAAGAAAGAAAGAAAGAAGAAAGAAAGAAGAAAGAAAGAAAGAAAGAAAGAAAGAAAGAAAGAAAGAAAGAAAGAAAGAAAGAAAGAAAGAAAAATTTAAGAGTAAGTTTCAACAATGTATTTCTAGAATATATTTATTTGTACATTACTTTTTTCTGCTTTTTACCAAACCAAATGAAAATTAGTCAGCCAGCTTAAATTTTAAAAATGTCTGATTAAAGCTAAAAATTTGCCACTTTCAGGTTACTTGTGATTTCCATCTTTGACTTAAATTCTTTGATTTTAGGCCTATGCTCTTGTAACTACTTTGAAAACTTTCTTTTCCAGTTTTCACTAACTTTTATGAAACAAGAAGAGAAAAATATAATTGAAAATTTCAAATATCCTCTACAGAGCACGAGCACTTGCTATGGAGAGAAAGGCATTGATGCAAAATGGAATTGCCTGTTGGCAGATAGCATTACAGGGAGAGATAGCCTAAAATAGCAGTCTATCAAGAAATTCATGAAGGTTCAAATTCGGTGTAAAAAGGAAGGATATATTGTGGACACATAATATAACTTCATTTCTCAGTGAAATTCTGTTTCCCTGACTGTAGTATATGCAGGAAGTTTTAAAGCCCAACTTGCAGACCTCAAAGTGTCAAACAAACAATAATCAATACCAGACCCGTTTGACTCCATTAACTGTATGTATCAGTCAGGATAGGGGAGGTTATGCTACGGGATCAAACAGCCCCTAAAGTCTTCATAGCGTAAAGCAACAAACATTTACTTCTTACTCACACTACTTGTCATGTGACTCTGTTCCAGGACTCCGATTGGTGAAGGAACTGCTATCTAGAACATTGTCTAGACGCATGGCAAAGAAAAAGAACATTCTAGAAGCTCCTCATTCCACCAAACATGACATATGTCATTTCTTCTTACAACCCATAGGCAGACCAGCCACATGGCCAACCCAACCACAAGCGAGTCAGGAAGCCAAGAATATTTTGCAAATAGCACCAATAACCACCCCAGGGGTGGGGGCGGGTGGATTTGGGGGGGCAGGTATTTTATATTTGCATGCATCTATCCTTGTAATCTACTAAGATGTTTTCTGTTTCTTTTACCAACAGGAAGACTGACCCAGTCCCAGAAATGACCACTCCTGAGAAATTCTATTCCAAGGTCATGGAGACGCTGGAATTCCTCAATTCCCACCTGCCAGATGGCAGCCATGTGATTTTATATGGCTTACCTAATGGAACCTTTCTCTGGGATTATTTGCACGACAAATATCATCCTCTCGGTATCAGTTTGAAGATACTTTTACTCTTTAACAGTGTCCATGTATATCTAGTTCAAATATATATAGTTCACACTATATAGGAATACATCTAAAATACCATCACAGTACACGGATCAGAATTGATGAAGGGGCAGGATATGAAGGTCAGTATCCAAAGGTGGGTGGAATTAGATCCAAGGACAGAAAGAGCAGAGGTGTTTCATGAAGAATTAGGACAAACTGAAAGGAAAGAGTTTAAATCAGGAAACTCTTTAAACTGAAGGTAAAATCTAGAATGAGCAGACGAAGCCCAAACAAAAAAGAGACAGAAAGCTCTGAGTCAAAGGGAAGGATTTCTCGGAACCTCAATGGTGAGTGCCCCCTGGTGGCCAGACAGAATTCTGTGGAAGACGGTCCTCCATGGGGTTTGCTCCCAGCTTCTGCCCTCTCTTGGAGCCCTTGACTCTGAAGTGCTTTAAACATCCCCCAGGAACTTCTAAAGATCCCCCTCTAGCACCCCAGATGCATTACGCTGTAAAAGCAGTAGCAATGCACATTAGGAAGGGTTGCCATGCTGATCCTTAAAACACTCCTGTGAGATAGACGTTTTCATGAATTCCATTTTATAAATGAATAAACTAAGGCCCAGAGAGGTTAGGTAGCTTGCCAAATGTTGCACAGCCCATTGTATATGTCAGCTGGGTGTAGCATGGCTCTTCGTTCTGTGTTTTGGAGGAGAATGTTCCTTCAAACAAATAGTTATTAAGTGCCCGTTATGTGCCAGGCACTCACTATTCTAGGCCGTGTGTGACCAGCAATGAACACAATAGTCGAAAACCCATGCCAGCATAAGGCTTATATTCCACTGGGAGTAAGACTCCAAAAGTACGACAGAGGGTGATAAGTGTTAGGAGAGAAAATTCAGCAGGGACGGGGTAGGGAGTGCCAGCCTCAGATCCCTTGGACGGGCATCTACCAGGAGAGGCCTGGGTGCTCTGCCTGCAGCCCCACCTTGGCAGCACCTGTGCCAGCCTCTCATGAAAGGGGCTGGTCCTTCCCTGGTATGGCCATAGCCCCCTTCTCAGACCAATCTCAGCTAAAATGTGCTGCAAGTTGTTACTTTCTTATGATTCAGGCGAGCGAGTCAAAGGGACGAGACCTGGAAGTCCTTCCTCAGTGCCCTCCCTGGGAGAGCTTTCCCTCGCTCATGTAACTGCTCTGTATCTTTCCAATCTCCTCTAGGCCGCCTCCTTCACCCCTGTTTGAGCCAAGCCCCCACCTCCCTCAGGAAGCCCCACCCCTCCCCACGCAGGAAAAAAGCAGGGGCCCTTTCACCAGTTCTCAAAGGGTTCTGGTCCCTTTCCTGGGGGGACGATGGCAGACACCCACATTCCAGGCGCCTTGCCAAGGAGACTGAGGTCATTTCCTCTTCAGTTAAAAACCGTGCCACAAATGTTATTATTATCCAAGTAAAATACCGTCCAGCCTCGCATGATGAAAGCATAGTCCTCCTGTTCAGGCGGCTTTGACCGGGCACCTTAGAAGTGATAACGTGATCACATGGAGAATTTGACTCCCCTCTGGGCTGCCTTGGACACATGAAGGACAACCACTTGGGGATAGTCTTTTTGAGGAATTGCCCAAGAGTAAGTTTCACACACTAGGATACGACTTACATTAGATCTTTTGAGAAAGGTCAGCTTTGACCAGTGATGAGTCCTCTTAGACACAGTCTATGAGAATGGCGCCCTTTCCATAAATATGTCCAAGATACCTATTATGTGCTCTGGGGGTAAGGATGACATTAAGATGGAGTCCTTGTACTCAAGGAGAGAGAAAAAGACAACTCCACTGGGGAAAACAGTATACAGCTCCTGACAGTGAAATTACTAAGTGTCAGTGACACTGGCACAGCCATAAGCATCCTGGGAGCTGCCCACAGGGTGGACCATGACCAAGATGTCTGGGGTGGCTGGCTCAAATAAGCCAGCCAGTAGGCCTTCTTTGAAAGGCCTCTGCCACAGAGCATCAACAACAGGCTCATTTTACCCCAATCATTAAAACTTAAAACGTAATGTATTTAAAAACATATTGTAGTGTCCCTTATATTCTATCACTGGCTCCCCCCCCCGCCCCCCCCCGCCATCTGCGTTAGCGTGGTTGTACTAAGTTTCAGTACACGTGGGCGTGTGATTGATCTTTGTTGATACCTGATAACTTTTATGGGGCCCAAAATTTCATTCATGGTCCCAGCATTAAATAAACACCAAAGACCCTGCCCTAAAGGACTTACAAATGACTGGGTCACGCATTGCTGCTCTAGCCTGCTGGGGTAGGGCATGCCTTTTATCTTCAGAGGCAGCATGTGACGCCCCACATGCGCACGGACACTGACAGTTCCTCAGACCTTATAACTCCTGGCCGCTGCGGGGCAGCCCTTCTGCCTCATCGAGGTCGTTCTTGACCAGCTTTCCTCACCAGATTCACTTCCTGACCAGGGAGTCACAGACGCTGCCTGTTTACAGGTATGACACGTAGGAAGGGTCAGTATTTAGAATCGGGCTCCTCAGGAGGCAAAAATACCGTAAAGTAACAGGGATAAAAGGTAATACCTAAAAAGAAAGAGGAAATGACAAACGGACAATGCCAACAAGAGGAGAAGGGCGTAAGAACTCTTTTTTCTCCTCTCTTTCTGTAAACCATAACCCCATCACAAGCATTCCCACCTGACCCTCCACGCGACCAGCCCCAGTCACCATAACCACTAACAGCAGAAATGCCAGCGAGAGAGGAAACCCACTCTTCACACCTTTCCCAATTACTTTCTAACTGCACCTAACATGCCCTTATCCTGTGCAGCAGACCCACCTACTCACACTAGGATTTTCCCTTTATCAGCCTGGTCCATTTGGAGCCCGTGCCAGATGGCAGGGAGGGACAGGGGAAAGGGACAGGGCTGGGACGAGGCCCAGAAGGGTGGCACGCCTTGTGGTCTCATCTAAGCGTGCTGGTCCCTCAGCAGTAGGACAGCAGGAAAAGGGGACTAAGCAGGAAAAGGGGATGAGACAAGCCTTTCACTGGGCTTAACCCCCAGTGGGGAGCCACAGATGAGTCCCTGGTATTCAGGAGCAGGACAAACTGCAGTCCCTCCGGATAGCAGCTCAACCCAGGCTTGAAGGTAGGAAAGGGGAAGGTGCCGGAGTGCTACTTACCGTCAGGCATGAGGTGCCACCTCCCCCAAGCTGAGGAGACGTCAGCCACTGGGCAGGGGAAAGAAAGAAAGGGCACCTCTCAGGGAGAGGGAACTCCACAGGACCAAGCAGGGTGTCAGGGTCCCAGCCAAGCTGCCTCAGGTTGATGATGAGGCCCTGGTTCCAACAAAGAAACCAGATGGCGGAGGGAAGCCTGCAGGTCTGGGGCCGTCCCAGGAGTCAAGTCATCCAGGTACATGGAGAATCGAGAGTGCACAGTGCAGGCTGGATGTGTCAGTCACTGCAGCTGGGACTGAGATAAGCAGGGACACGTATGGAGAGGAGACAAATGACAACACACACAGAGGGAAAGAGGCTCAGTGCTGGAAAGCAGGATCTTGGAGAAAGTTGGAGCTCAGGACTCCACGTTGAGCCCATAAAATGAAAGCAAGGACAGAAGCCAGTGGTTTGGGGTTCATCGGAAATGTAAAAATGCAGGCATCTCTGGGGAGCAGAGGAGGCCTGGCGTGTCCCTGTGACTTTAATGGCAATAATAAGCCTGTGGTTTTCCAGTCTTGGGAGTCACTCACCCACACAGAGAGATAATATATTTTTCCTCTATGACAAGAAAATTGAATCTACCTAGCAGCCAACATGATCTGAAGTCTAAGTGAAAAATAAGACTGTGTTCCATCACCTTCAATCTTTCTCTTTGCTCGGAGATAGGGTCTATTATTTTCCTTTATTTTTTTTCGAGCGTGAGGGAAGTATTAATGGATAAGACATCAGTTATTCACACCCCTGAGCTTTGGGAGAGCCTGGATTTTGTGTCTCAGCCACAGCATGAAAGTTGAATTGCCTGGGGGGTGGGTATGCGGTAAGGGGGGAGGAGAGGGGAGACGACTGAGAGAGGGAAGGAATGACCCCCCCCCCCAGAGTCTGTGTCTACCTTGAGTGTTTGGAAAGGCTCTGGATGAACTGACATGTGGCACTTACTGCCTTTATTTTTAGGGACCTCATTAACTTGCACCAAAACAAAAGGGGAGAACGTATCTACTGTTTAGGGCTCCAATAAGACTCCCGCTGGGCCAGGCAGAGACTTGCTGTGCTGACCTCCCCCCTCCAATGGCTACCCACACACTTTCAGAGGCCTTCAGTTCACCAAACGGCAGGGCAGCCCTTCAGACACTCAGGATGTCCTGCGAGGTCCTCACCGTGGGATTGCTGGGTCAGACCTGGGTGTTTCATAAACTGGGAAGGGAAGATTTGTCACCTACCACCTGAAACGCTCCCCGGCCCCATAGGAACTTGGCATTTCAGACCATTGCCGGGACAAAGCTGCTGTTCTGCCAAGTCCACTGTTTGTGATTTCTGGTCCATATGCTGCCCTTGTAAACCTCTACCTGGGGTCCGGATAAGGTCAGGCTCCTCAGGTCCTGCCCTAGCCCATGGCAACAGCTCAAGGAGGGAGCAAACTCCTAAAGGCCCCTCCCCCATTCCAGGTCTTCCTCAAAAGCAATAGCAATTGAAATATCAGGGCAGCACCCTGGAAGTGCCAGCCCTCCGCAGGGGAGACAGTGCCATCCATAACTGCCTCAAGTTGGCTGCCATTTTTGAGTGCTTACAACATCCCTGACCGCTCTGTTTTCCAGGCCAGTTGAACAAGGACGTGACCTATGACCAGTTCTACTCCTTCCTGAGCTGTCTTCAGGTGAGCTCGCACTGACTTGTTCCAAGGCCACACACATCCCCCTCATCGCCAGCCCTGCTCCTTTGTAATCCAGTGGTGTTTTCCTGCTCACAGGTCACCCCCTGCCATGGCTGGATGTCTTCCAACCAGACACTCCGGGCTCTCACTTCAGAGGTAGGACTCTCGCAGGCGCTTTGATACCATCTTGAACCATTCTTTCCCTGTGTTTGCTGCAGCGTTTTCACTGAGGATGGCACTGTGGCAGAGTGATGGCCTCCAAGCTAGTGAAACATCACACTTCCACGGGGCTTGAGCGCCAAGAGAGTGTGGGGCGCCCTATCTCTCTCCTTCTGCCTCCTCTGGGTCTGTCACTCTTAGCATGTCTCTCAGTCACTGTCTGTGTGTATGCCTGACTCTCTCATATGCATACATGCATGTACGTACACACTCTCTCTCTCTCTCTCTCTCTCTCTCTCTCTCTCTCTCTCTCTCTCTCTCTCTCCTTTTAAAGCTGGTCCTAGGCATACGCATAGAGGTGGAGAGAAGTGAGCAAGGTTAGGCCCAATGTACGACTGGAGTTCTCCCAAGTTAAATGAGGACTAGGTACTCCAGAGCCCTCTTCTCTTCATGAAGGGAACCCATGGTTCATGCTGTTTTTCACAGATTGCGAATATCTGTATAAAAGACTTATTGAATTTTTTTTCACAAAAGAAATAAATTTCAATGAAAAAAAAAACCTTGGAGAATGCAAAGAACAATAAAAAAAAATTCCCACCCCAAATCCCACCACCCAAAGTTAATATGTGTATATGTCTTTCCAATATTACTTTCTTAATGAGATATTTTTGGGTTTTGCCTACACAGTGTCAGGATACACATATTGTTTTATGCCTTTGGATGCTCATAAATTATTCTTCCACATCGTGATTTTGTAATCATTTTAGAGAATACAGTGTATGAACGCACCATGATTTATTTCAATGCTTGGGGTTGGACATATAGATTTCCAATTTTTCATTGTAATAAATAGCACTGTGATGTGTGTATGTGTATCCTTGTGTACCGTGTCTATTTCCTTAAGAAAATTGCTAGAAAAATTATGGGGTCAAAGAATACACCATGTTTAAGGGTTTGATCTATCTTGCCTAAGTGCTCTCTAAAACAGTTAAACAAATTGACATTCTCCATCACCTATCCCATGGCAATATCCTATATTATCATGATTGTTCATCTTTTCTTGGCCAATCCCATGGAGAAAAGTGGTATCTTATTACTTGACTTTGCACTGATTCGGTTCCTAATGAATTTTAACAGTTTTGTGTGTCTGCTGGCCATTTGTACATGAGTGGAATTTAATGTGCAGAGCTGCTCTGTGCTTAAGGCTTGGGGTGGGGGTGGGGACTATCGATTTCTTTGTTCTGCTGGAATCAGCTCACTAAAGCCAAAGTCTGGATTTCATCGCATTCTCCTTCTCCTTTGTATTCAGAGAGCAAAACAACTCTCCGATACACTGAAAAAAATTGCAACCAGCAAGAAATTTAAAAACTTCAACCTGTTCTACGTGGATTTTGACTTCCAGGAAAGTAAGTGTTACTGGGTTTGGGTATTAACACAAGACAAAAGCAGCAGCTACCATGTAGAGCTTCTCGCGAGCAAGGCATTTATAAGCCAGCAGGCAGTAGACCGGACAGGGGCCCCCTGACCATCCTGACACACTAATAGCTCTGAGTATTGAAAAAAGGTTAAGTGCGATACTCTTTCTGGGAAGGTGGGAGCTCAGCATCACTGCTTATTCACCATCATTTTAGAATCTCTGAGGCAACAGAGCCAGTGACCAGTTGGAAAAAGCTTTGGCAGGGAGCCAGCAGCCGGGCAGTGGACTCGCCTAACTTGCCCTTCCTTGCCAGTACAGTAATGCCCCACTCACTAGTGGGCTAAAGGGGAGTGTGACAGGAATGAGGGGTAAGGCGGTGCCTCTCAGATTGGGCATTGAATTACCCAGGGACTCAATAGCAATGCAGATTCCTGGGCCCTGCACATACAGAAACAATCTGTCTCTGTGGGAGGGACCTCAGGTTTGCTTGAGGCCGTGTGGACAACCCTATATCCCAGCTTCCTGGAAAGAACATTAGTATTTCTTTTAGAGCATTCTGTCCAAATACCAGGGGTCCCTGATGAGTGGCCCCCTAAAAACAAGCATGTACTGGAGCTACTATTCCTCCTTTACATCTTGACTCTGAAAAGTTATTATTTATTGGCTTTAATCCTCCCGTCTCATTTTCATTGCTAAGCAATTGTTGTACAAGAGAAAAGCCTCCCATTGACTGCCTGCCAGCTGATACGACACTAATGAAAAGCTTTCCAGTGTGTGCAAAGGATAGATGATTTCTCTCCCAGAGTTTATCCTCTCTCTCTCCCCAACCCTCAAAGCCCTCACCCCCCAGCCCAAGCAGCTGGGAGAAAGCAGATGGCCATCATGAATTAGCACATATTACATTAGCTGACACGTTTGCCTAGAAGACTCTAGTACTTCAATTCTGAACATCTTTTCGACAAGACTGATCTCCTGTAACTAGATTTCCTGCCTAGGTGATACGTATTTCTCTCATGGGGAGAGACATTTTGATAAATAACCTCTCATTAAAATGCAGAGTTAAAGACTCATTAATGAATACCTGGTGTAAACAAATATACCACCAAGTGATCTTTGATCATCATCAACCTTGACTATAGATAAAGTTATTAAACATAATAATGTCTAACATTCACATGGGACGTTTTCATTTTCCAAAGTAGCCTCTAGCTCTGCCCTTTATTATCTTTGGGACTACAGGCAATTCCCTGGACATGTCTAAACTCTCCTTTCCAGACCTGAACATGGAGATACCACATCTCCGTACCAAGCCTGCGGGATGACGACGTGAAATAATGTGTGATCCCCTAAAAGCCGTGCCGGGGGCATCGCTGGTCCCCAGGAAAGAGTAACAGTCCCTCACACTCTTGTTACTCAACGTGTGGTTTAGGATAAGCAGTATCCCCTCCACCTGGGGGCTACTTATAAATGCAGAACCTCAGGCCCCACTCCTAATTAGGGCGCACCTAATCAGAATCTGCATTTTAACTCAATCCACAGATGACCCATTAAAATGTAATAAATAGGGCTTATAATGCTCCAAGATTAATAACTTGAGTCAGCTAGTCATCGATTTTTATTAAGTCCCATTATGCGCTGTGTAGGTGCTGGGCCTATCGCTCGCTGTCAGCAGAACAGAACAGCGCTTATTTTCATGAAGGATCTAGAGAGAAGAGCTTGATCCAGCACCGGCCAGCATTCCCCTGATGACCTTACATACTTGGATGCAGAGCTCATCAGCCCGTCCTTGTCCTTACAGCAATAATAAACTCAGTGACAAAGCAAAAAAAAAAAAAAAAGTTCAGTGAAACTGAACTGAATATTCTAAATCAAATGGCAGTCGGTCACCTTACTGAGAAATCTCCTTGATATTTTTCCTTGCTTGGCAATTCTCATCAACAGTTTAAGGAGTTTCCTGAGATTTTGTAAATTCCTGACGTGTACGAATGTGAAGGTCTGTCTTGGGGCAAGGCCTTCTCCACGGCCCTTCACTTGGGAACGACGCAGCGGGAGGGCGCTTGGAGGCAGAGGAAATGGTGCCCTGGGACCTGCCCTCACAAACATCTGTGTGACGCAACTTCTGCGTTGAACACTTGGGTGCCACCGTATCTACCTCCGAAGCAGCCGGAATTTTTATCTAGTTCTCAGGAACTCTGCCAAGAGCTTCACTTATGCCCAAGGTTAGACTACTGGGAAGGGAATGTTTACTCTGAAGTCTTAGCATTTTCTAGAGCAGGCAGAGGGGTCACCCACTCCCAGATCCATCTCCATGGACATCCTCCCACGCCTGGGCAGCGCATCATCTGGGAGTCTGGCCTACCTCATGTAGGTGCAGTGTGCTATTACAGGAAGAGCCCAGAATTTACAACCAGATAGAAGTGTGTTCCTATCCCAGCTCAGACCCAGAATAAGGGTGTAACCTCAAGCAAATTAAATAACCACTCAGCTTTTGTTTCCTTTTGTGTAACATAGCACTAACTAAACGAGGGGTTTATGCAAGGATTGAGACAACTCTTGTAATGTAGTAAGGACTCGGTAACTGTTAGCTGACATCTTCCCACTGCCACTGTCATCAATATATATAAAGCGCCTACTATATTCTTCCAGGGCATATGATAAATGGAGGATAAATGCTTATTCTCTTTCAATGTCCAACCCACCTCCCCATCGCCAGTCATGCCTATGGGTCACGTTGCGTTCCTTAGAGGACGCTATGGTAGAAATGCATATCATTATCACTGCAGTCTTCTTTTATCAGAAATAAAGACCCTGTAGACTCTACAGTGTAGAGTCACTTATTAAATCTGTCGCCTGAAGAGTCACATGAAAATCTCTCCTCTCATTTCTCTACTATATTTGAGCTAACTATGGCATCATCAATATCCTCATTTCTAATATAAAATTTATAATTTCACCCCCTGTGACAAAGCAAATTGCAGTTGAGGATCCCTGTCCCTTGGGGGTAGGCACGAGAGCTGGCGGTTCTCCACTCTGATAGTCTCAGTCCAGCCCTGAAAGATGATTTGTCATCTTCAAAGACTTTTTATCTCTTGCGGACTCATCCTCCAACTGGTTATGAACTAAACAGAGGCAGCAATTGTCCCTCCCTTCAGGAAATGCCAGCCTGAGCGGGTAATGTCCCTATTCTTTCTTCATCTGAACCACATCTCCCAAACAGAGGAAAGAAAATGTCTCCTGGCTGACAAGGACAGTTTTACTCTGACCATGTAACTATACCACCCACTGCGCTTTGCTCCCACGACTCAATTGAAGTAAACCTGGTTCTTAGTTCTCCTATGTATCTGTTTGTAAAAACTACCAATGACCTCATGATGCTGACCAGGATGCAGACTTCTTTTTAAATATCTGTGAGTGTTGCTGTTGATCAAAAAGCCACCAAGTGTTTTATGAATCTTCTTCCGTGGTTTCCATTGCATCTCTGAAAAGCTGGTCGTTAGCAGAGTTTCTCTGACTTTACGAATAAAGAAAATATATTAGGCATCAAATCCAAGGGATCATTCATGAAATTTAACTCAGGTCTTCTGAAGAACAAATAAGAGTTTATCTACCTATTTGGAACTGTGTTCCCAGGTAAGACTTGCCATGCTACCCCTGCTTGGACCTCCCACCCTAAAATCAATCAGGGAAGAAACAGAGATCCCTGTCTGGGATTGCAGCTACTCTGAGAAGGAAAAATTTCACCCTGAGATAAAGAAACTGAAACGGCTGCTCTGCCTAGCACTAGTCACAATAGAGGTAAAACCGTAAACTCTTTTGTGAGTTCCTGACTCTATCTCTCAGTGTTCATACTGATGTCTGCAGATATGCGAATGACTGGTAACCCTCTCCAACATAATAATCATGTGAGAAAATGATGTTTCCCACTCTGAAGAGACTGATTGTAGCCTTGGTAACCTATGGCATTTCTTTTAATACCTATCAGATTACTCTATATGATAAGCCAGTACTTCTAAATGCTGAATTCCCTTGTGGCATCCTACTAATGTGGAGGAGGGACGGGGATGGAAGAGGAGGTGAGGCACATGTTTCTTGGCAGGGAAGAGAGCGGAGAGCATTGTAATAATAAAATGTGGGCCTCCTCCACTGCCCCCCACCTTAGGGTGTGCCCCTGCTCCCTTGCAAAACTTGGCAAGTAAATATCCCTTCTCTTTTCTTTATGTTTTTGTTCTGAAGTTTTCTCTTCAGAATCCCACATGATGGAAATTGCTCAATTGCTCCAGGGGAGTAGAAGGAAATGACCATCCCTTCTCATTTTAAAAAACAGTCACTAATTCTGATGACTGAATTATGTCCGCTTGTTCCATGAAGTGTCACATCTATCAGCACCTCTCCCTCTCTCTAAGGGCCAGAATTTTTAGTGTGGTAGTTAGTAATGCACATAAAATTCAAATCAAAATGGAAATAGCCTAGTCTAACTTTAAGCCTCGGTGCCAAAATTGAATCACCTTGGAAGAAACTTGGGTACAAGCAAGTCTACCTTGTTAATATTGGTCTCCAGTAAGCATTTCTTGCAAGGAACACGGCCTTGGCTTAAACTGTGTTTCCTGAATAGGCTCAAGTTGGCTTTCCACTGTGGATTTTCCAGATCTCCAGATCACCATAATTCCTTTTCTGAATTTTCTCTAGCCCAGTGAAGGCACAGGTTTAGATTCAAGTTGTCACGCAACCATCTCTGCAAACACGAAGAGTCAAAAAGTGTTGTAAGAGGCTTCCTACCCCCACAGGGACAGGGGCTATGTGGGTGGTCCAGGTCAGGTCCATGGCTTGCTGTAAATCTCTTTAGTACAATCTCTGCACCTTACTCATCCAACTCTGTAACTTTTCAGCAGGCTGTCTGAGGTCTTGGCTGGGCTCATGACCCATTGTGTTTTTAGCCTGGGAATGTCCTAACATCCAATTGGGATTTTCTTTCATTCTTTCTTTTCTTTCTCTTTTTCACATTTGTATAGCACGAGGTGAAACCAAACTAAAAATAAAGGGAGAAGCAGGAGAAAGGACAAAAAGTTCCCTGAGAACTTGGGTGAAGTGAAGGAGCACAAGCAGAAGGAAAGCGATGTCACCTCTGAAGTCACAGAGAGGATTGGGAGGCTGCTGTTGTTGATGATTGTCACAGGGACCCCGTGGGGCTGCAAGGCAGAGATGAGGCACATACTGCAAAAGAACAAAAGCATTGAGGGGGCTGAATGGGGGTGACATTGGCTCTGCATTTGAAGAAACGCTTCCAAATGCCTGGTGCTCCATTAAGGGTAATTATTATCAGATTGGAGGTGGTTCAATAGAGAATCAGCATAAAGTTATAAAGTAGAAAAGCAGAACCTCCTCCACCCATCCCCCCACCCCCCAGAAAAAACAAGTAGGTAACTGGCCCACCCTCTCTTGGGTGAAGCGGGGGTGGGGGTGGGGG